GTTTTTTTTTTTTTTTAATGTTCAGGTTGTAGCAGAGGAACTTAATAGAGACAAGAGAATGAAAGGAGACTCAGAAGAAGAGTCTAAAGTAACTGAAGTGAATAACAGCAACAGCAGTACTACTAGCAACAACAACAACAACAACAACAACAAAGAAACTTCTGGGGATTCAGTGAAAGAGAATTCAAAGGCTTCTGGAGCACAAAAACAAGATTACATTCATGTACGAGCGCGTCGTGGGCAAGCCACCGACAGTCATAGCTTAGCTGAAAGAGTAAGTTGCAGGAAGTTTTGTTTATTAGAATTTCTTGAGATAATTGAGTAGTTTTTTTTAATTTTTAATGTTTGTGTGTTTAGGTAAGAAGAGAAAAGATTAGTGAGAGAATGAAATATCTTCAAGATTTAGTTCCAGGGTGTAACAAGATCACTGGCAAGGCTGGAATGCTAGATGAAATCATCAATTATGTTCAATCTCTACAAAGACAAGTCGAGGTAACAAGCTCACCTGACTTTAATCCCGATGTCATAATTTGTTTAAATGTTTTGTTGTCCTTCTTGTCTGTTAATCCCGATGTCACCTGACTTTAAATGTTTATTACTTGAATTGATCATTTTCTGATTCATGTCTCTATTTCCAAATGCAGTTCTTGTCAATGAAGCTAGCTGCTGTTAATCCTAGACTTGACTTTAACATCGAGAATTTATTCGCAAAAGAGGTAAGAAACAACGTTTTTATCTCACTATTGTTGCATTTTGTCATTAGTAGATTTATTTTAGATCATTTCATAAGATTGTAGAGATAATTAAAAGGTGGAATTGGATTCTGTTACCCTAAATATGATCAGAGTTACAGCAATGAGTATAATTAGAAGAATTACTTGATAATTTGAAAGAGTTGTAGCTAATTTGCTATACTTATATTTGATCCAGATGTTTTCGGCTAACACTGCTGGTTTTCCAATTGGGACATCATCGGAAATGGCCAATTCCTCAGCCTACCTTCCTCTTAATTCATTACAACAAATGATCTCAAGTTGTGGTTTGGATATGGGGATGAATTCTTCTGATATCTCACTTCAAAGATCAAGAAGTGCACCTGTGTCAGATGCATTCCTTGATACCACTTGCTTTACTGTAAGTTCTGCTTCACTCATAATGTTTTTTCGCAACTTCTTTTCCTTTTGTATTCTATATCTGACATTAGGATTGGGTCTTTACTTACAGCAAGCACAACCCTCTTCTTCTCCCTGGGAGACTGATTTGCAAAACCTTTACAATGTGGAATTCAATCAAACTAGACCAGTTACATTTCCACCTCAATCATTTACAGGTAACGTAAAAGGTTCTTTAAATTATCTTCCATTCTTTTTGATAAATCCAATAAGGTTAAATATGGCTGTCGGGACCTGTATAAAAAATTATCAATCTAACAAACTTTAAAGTTCCTTGTGTTATAATCTTTCCTAAGACCATTTGGACCCTTTGTGATTAAAGTGAAGAAAGCAAAATTACTGGATATTTTCCTTTTCTTCCCTTTTCTCCCTAAAAATGATTAAAAAGCAACCTCTTTACCATGTGTATAGTGCCCTCACTTTCATCCCTAATTAAGCTATCATCTGAATAAAAGATAAGATTTGCTTTATGGAAATAACAGTTGGGTTTCAGATGATATGGACATCCACTCTATACTATCGTATGTCCGAATGTCACATGGGAAAAATTGCTAATTTCGACTACAACATTTAAAGATGCTATTGTAAAAAAGTGGGTGATCATATAACCATTTGCGATGATGGTTGGCTAAGATATCTCTATCAATGGAACCAATTACCAGTCATTGGACTGGAAATAATAAAGATACATTTACCAGAAAGAGACTTAAATTAGTTGAAAAGAGAAAAGGCTTTTATAATTGACCCTTCATTTTCCCAACCACATTTTGTTCAAACTTGAAAGTGAATCTAAAGGTCTAGTCTTCTGGTTTTTGCAGGCATTTTGGAAGCTAACAATCTCAAGATGGAGATGTGATTATTGAACATCCCTCGAGTCATAAAAAATATAGAGTTATAATCCAAGTGCCAATGTCCCTTCAGGAACATCAGATATAATTGGAACGATATAGAGAAGATTAGCATGGACCCTGGCAAGAATGACACGCAGAAATCAAGAAATGGTCCAAATTCTTATTCTTTACATTTTTCTCCGTAGAGATGGTATATAACTTGTATGTATACTAGTGGTGTAGTTATTATAACATCGATACCGTGTTAACCATCAATTGTTCTTGTACCACTACCCATCCTTTGTATAATGTTGAAGCAAATATTATTTGCAATGAACTGACTTTAGATTTTATTTCTATATAACATTTCCTTATTGAGTTCATGAGTTGTATATTTCAACTTTTTTACCATGTCAAACAGAAGTTGGAGGTCTTGCTCTTTAGAGTTGGTCAGATATCATCAATCATTCAGTCATCACCTTACTAACTCTGTAAAAAAAA